ACTCACACTTGGATCAGGGAAAGTCGCAAGGTTACCAAGAAGCTAGTAATTGTTTCCGTTTTATTCAAGCATGTCATTACCATTGTTTCGGTAATGACTAGTAAGATGGCTGTTATTCCGACCCTAGTGGTCATATCAAATTAAGTCTGACTACGATGAGAGGTCATTGGGACATGACCCATCGGTCTATTACAATAGATAAAGGAATGTATTTATCCTAAGAGGAAGAAGGAGTCCACAATAAGGATTTATTTTGTAACTTGAAGGTTATGATTGAAAGTCCAACATAGTATGAAGAGCAGATGAAAGATTGGGCATCACGGTTATTACTTAGGATGGAGAGATAACGTATGGAGTCAGTATACGAATCCTATTTCGTTGATAATTCTGGGACATAATCATCCTAAGGGGGAGATAATTGTAACACCCGTAGATTAGGGCTAGTTAATTTAAGGACAATAAGCGTCAAAATGACTTTTTGATAGAAGATTATTTTGAAGGAATAATCTTAACTAATTTGTAGTATATGTTACAAGGATTCCGTACATATAAAGAACGTTGAAATCCGAGTTATAACGAAGAAGTTATGCCCTGTCGAAGTTTCGCGACAGAACCGACACGACGTTGAATGACGCAAAAAGTGAATTTACGTTAGAGCGATATTTATCCTTAGCGATCTAAACGAAAGTCGTAGAGTTCGCTAAACCATGAGCATGCATAAAAATAACGTCCAAAACTGACTTCGTATGAGGAAGTTATAATTTTTCTAAGTTTCGACTTAGCGGTATGCAGCCCGAATACTCGATTTGTGATCGAGCGTTTTTTAGCAGAAGCAATCTAAAAAAGAATTGAAGATCTCGTCATTAGTAGTGCAACGATGAAAAGACAGACAAAAACGGACGTCAGATGAAGAATTTATGAATTTATAACGGATTTTTCCTATCCCGACCTACTAAAAATAAATTCAAAATTAGCCGATGGAGTCTAAACAAAAGTTGTAGAGCGTAGTCTTACCTACGCGTGGATATAAAGAACGTCAAAAACGGAGTGTGTATGAGGAAGATATGAATTTTTGAAGTTTATTAAATAATAAAAATATATATTTAATCTTTAATTCGGATGTATATCCGAAGGAGTTATTGATCTTATCCGAAGTACGCCCAGTGTACCCCGGTGCATGAACCCCTCGGACTCGAGTGCCTCGCATACGTAATCGATGACTTTTTTTGGCACTACGCCCCGCGTAGCTAAGCATTACGCCCAGCGTAATGCGAAGGTTCAGCCCTATAAATACCTTGCAAGGGTTCTTGCTCATTTTCTCTTCTCTCTCTCCCGTTTTACCTCGTTTTTTGTGTAAGAAATATCTCGAAGCCCCGATATCATTCCCGAGACCCGAAGCAAGTCCCGAAGCCCCGACAATCCCGAGAAGTGAAATTCCCGAGCCGAAGCTCTGCCCGCGAGAAGCCAATTTTTGTGAAGATCTTCCAGATCTACTGAAGAATACTACTTCTACAAGCCTTTGAGCTGTCCGATCATATTCTGATCAAGTGAGTGTGTGGTTACTTTCTTCTAACGCATAAATATAAAGTATTAGCTATGAAATATGTGATATGCGTTATATATTATTTGTCTATTTGAGATGGGCTTGGAATTGATGTTTTTATACGGGTGTTAAATGATTCAAACTATATATGTATTTTATATCTACAAAATATGTTGGGTCGAACATGGGTAGATGAAATAGTGGCAACTATGAGACGTAGTATGTATTGTATAAACCTTGGTGACTATGGAGTTAGCGCCTATTGTATAAACCTTGGTGACTATGGAGTTAGCGTCTATTTTATAAACCTTGGTGACTATGGAGTTAGCGCCTATTTGATAAACCTTGGTGACGATGTGACTTCATGCCTGTTGAGTAAACCTTGGTGACTATGGAGTTAGCGCCTGATAGCTATGGAATTAGTATCTAATAGATAAACTTTGGCAACAATGGACTTCATGCTAATTCCTTAGGTAAATCCTTAGGAATGAATGAATGAATGATAATTGGTTCTCAGGGTAAACCTTAAGAAATAAAGGAGATAATGGGGATGAGTATTTGGGTTGATTGTTTGATGATTGAATATAATATATTATGTATATTTGTGGGTTGAAAACCCTATATGCTCACCAGGCTCCCAAGCCTGACCCACTCAGTTTTCTTTGCATTACAGGTAATGGCACAAGGATATAAGTTGATGGACTTGACGAGAGATTTTGGATTATAGATCAGTAGTTATAAATAACTGTTGTAAGGTCTATTTTATATTGTTTATGCTTTTGGTCTGTATCGAAACATGACTTCCCGATGTTTTATTATTAAATAAAATTACATTCTCTTTGAGAAATGTTTTGATAAGTTATTATCATATCTTATTTTGGGAACAAATTTTGCAACCGTTTTCTTTAAACGATTACTCTGATTTATAAAACAAAGCATAAACAAATCGGTATTTTCTGACCGTGAAATTGAGGATATCACAGCAAGCTCTCAAAAGTGTCCTACATTATCATAAACAAAGCATGAACAAATCTCTTTTTTTTTTGTTAAGTAATCAAATCAATCTATTTTTGTTCAAACAAAGACCAAATAAAAAACAAAATTCAAAATGAAACATCGAATAAGAATAAAGGCTTTCATTATATTAAAGTTCATTAAAAAAAAATCAAAATAAAGCATCGAATAAAGCTTTCATTATATTAAAGTCCATCAAATTTAAACAGCATCACAAATTGACAAAGGCCTTCAAAATTTATAGATAAAATTATAAAATTCGTCCTTATAGTTTGTTATTTTCTTTAGTTCAAGTCCAAACATTAAAAAATTGTGCATTGGATATTTTTTTGGTCTAGTTTAGCTGCGAAATAAATCAAAAAGACTAATTTATTTTATTTATTTTCTTTTAATTATATTATCATTAAATATAAAATGGCCCACAACCCCACCTCACAATATACATCTCCCTCTCTCTCATCTTTTTTAACTCCACTTTCTTTCAAGATTTTCCATTAACAAGTTTTATTTTCTCGAGCTTCAACAAGGTACCGCAACATAAGGTTTTCCAAACACAAGTTGATGGTTGAAGTTTTAAGAAGACGAATCTTATCACAAATCCCAGTTCTATAAATCCCTTTAGTATTTAGGGAGGAGGAAGTCATTCTTTCCTAACCCACTGAACCCACTGTCATATCAATTTTTTTCATGTTTTCCAACCCACAACACACAGAAATCCTATCTTTCTCAACCTACTCAACTCACTCAATTAAAAAAAAATACAAAACAACTAAGATACAAGTTTTAAAACACATGGTATAAGAGAAAGTAGAGAGAGGATGAAGTGGGTTAATGAAATCAATTAAACAACCCACTGAAGAAGAAGTGGTACGAGCGGTAACTCTATTGCTAATTAAGATCTTACCTTAATTGTTTTGTAATTTTTTTAATTGAATGGGTTGAGTGAGTTAAAAAAAGATAGGGTTTCTGTGTGTAGTGGGTTGGAAAAGATGAAGAAAAATGAAAAACAAAATTTGATGTGGCAGTGGGTTCAATGGGTTGGGAGCAGTGGCGGATCCAGAACCAAATCTAACCGGGGTCCAAAAAATATAAAAGGTAAAATTCTGAAAATTTAACGTATTTTTGGGTTTTGAAGTAATTTTTTTTCAAAGAGGGTATTTAATGTAAAAGTGTGTGCCAAAGAGGGGATTTTTCATAAAAATTAGATTTTTGGAGGGCTATTTAGTAGTAAAAATTATGGGGCCCACCTCCAAGTGGGGTCCATGCACCCCACTTAAAGGGCCTAGTCGCCTAGATCTGCTACTAGTTGAGAGTGAATGACCCTCTCCTCCTTTAGAAGGCACATATGCATATCAATATCACTGGAACATTTTGTTTTGTCAGAAAAGAAAAGAACATAAAAAGCTAATATATTTCAAATTGGATTAGAGAGAGAGGGACATGGAGAAAGTAGAGGGATATAAGAGCAAGGTTGGACGGAATCAAGGAAGTTCACATGAAGGATTTTTTCTATGGCTAAACCTAAAGAAAGTTTATATATTGATGAAGAAAATTAGGGATTTGATATGAGATTTGTTTTATGGATTTCTAGAAAAACAATGTTTTGGATTCGTTTGCTAATTTTTTCTAAGCAGTTCCAATAAATTCGGCTGAAACATGACACCATTGTAGGCCCATTTTACATTAAGAGTGTGTTCGGCATGCAACGTTTGAGAGCTTCTAACTTTTAGCTTTTAAGAAAACGTTAGTAAAAAAGAAAAAGTCTCGTTCGGCGACATCAATGTTTAGCTTTTAACCTAAACAAAACGCTCCAACATCAAAAGCTACATGGAGTAGCTTTCAACAAAATTCTCCAAAATAAAACACTACCCGCTACCTGCTAGCAGCTACCCGCTACCAGCTAGTTTTGCCAAACACATCCTAATAGTATTAAGGTAAATTATATCATTCGTCCTTTGTGCAGGTGCCAAAAGACACGTTTAGCCCTATTTTTAAAAAAAAAAAAGTTAACTCGTATCGTCCCTCGTGAGTTTAAGATTTACACACTTCATCTCTCCGGACATAAAAAAATACAATTTTACCCTTATTTATTTCCTTTTTGATTTATTTGTTGATTATTAATTATTAATCCATTAAAAAATTGTTTAATTTAATATATGGTCCCTTCACCATTTTCACCATTGTCATTGACCAACACCACCACTACTATCTTCAACCACTAGCTCCAATACTCCGATGACCCCGAAACATCTCCAACGACTTTGGACGGAAAAAGGAAGAACACCATTTTTTTCTCTAAGAACTTCATCATTATATCCCTTGTTCCCTTTTCTCTCTTTAAGAACTCCATTTTTCCAATGAATCTAGACCGAAAAGAAAGGACATATCAACGAAAACTGGTAGGAAATGGGATACTGATCTTTTACCTCTTACCATTCGTATCATGTTCGAATGGTCAGAGAAGACGAAGAGACGGGTAGACCCAAACCCTAAATCATCATCACCATCTGAAGTGTCAAAACCCAAACCCAAGATTGTCGTAGTATCCCTTCCTTTTTTTCTGATGTGTATCTGGATGAGTCACAATCACCACCATTGTAGATATAACATAACCATCAGCTCAAATCTAAAGTTTCGAATGAAGGTGACGATAGTTAGGTTTCATGCGACATTAGGTTTTAGCGGGATTGATGATGACGATGACGGATCACAACACAAATGGTTTAAGCATACATGTAGCGATGACGACTCTACGAGGTCACTTTCTTCGACGAGACGTCGAATTCAAATGTCGATGGAAGTGGCTTCAACGTTGATGGTTGGGATGTGAGCGGGGGTGACAAAGTTGGCTCGAGATGGTGATAAATGAAGAGAAAAGGTTTGTCAGAGGTAGAGACGATGGTGGTGGCCAGTGACTAGCTGGCGATTTGGGGCCTCTTCTTTGTGTTTGTTTATGATTTGGGTCTTATCGAGTCTCTGTGTTTGTTTCTGATTATTGACGAACGGGAGGGTGGTGAAAGTGAAGGGCCTCTATTTTTTTAAATTGATAATAATAATAAATGCCTTAAATTAATTGAAAAATGAAAACACAAAGGTATTATCATCATTTCAGTTTTGGAATGAACTCAATAAAAATCGTGTTTGAGGGATGAAGCATGCAGTGTTAAACTAAACGAAGGACAATCCGAATTAATTTTTGAAAATTGAGACCAAACGTGTATTTGGGCACGTACTCTAATAACTAATAGTGTGATTTACTCGTAATACTAAAATATTAAAAGAAAATTTTGGAAATAAAATATATAAAAGGGTAGACAAACTTTTTAATTTTGATATGTTCGGCAAGTAAAGTAGGGCAAGGACCAAACTTACAACTATTCCAAAGTTCGGACTTTAGCAAAAAGAAATCACAAACCATAAAAACCATTTTTGCAATTTTAACAAATTTAAATTATATATGATGATATTTTTGCAATTTCGTCAAATTTAAGTTAAATATGATAAGACAATCTTTTTTGAGTTTTATCGCAGTTGTAAAAAGGAACTCTTTTTTGAGTTTTATCGCAGTTGTAAAAAGGAACAGAGATGATCATTGCAATGTTGACTTTTCTGGAATTGATTTTCCAATAAAGCTTTTTATTTACCATAACTTTAATTTTAATGGTGCCTCTTTTCCTTTATTGTTTAGTAAATAAAAAAGCAATTATTCCAAAATATAATAAAAAAATCAAACTGCTTTAGAATATATTACAAAGTAAAATAATTTGACAATGTCAATGCGCGTGTCATTTTCCTTTTATGGAAACTCTAATTTTTTGTTTACATTGTTTTATTTTCCTTTTTATTAATTCAGTACGATTTCAATCTCTAGCTTTATGACCCAGTCATATACTGTTTATCCTAAAACGGTATGACTTTTCGAAAATTGTAGAGTAAATTACACATTTGATCCCTATGATATACGACAACCGGCAAGTTTGACCACAGTTTTGGAAATTTATACCAGTGATTCTAATGCTTTACAAATCACTTGGCTTTGTCTCTATCATAGCTACCAATGTCTTTTTGTTAAGTGCATATAAAGTGATTAAAATACTTCTATATTGATTTTATTTTTTCTTGTTTTTCATAATTAATATTAGAATATAGTAAATTATATCACTGTCGTCATAGTATACCACTAATACCATTGTATACCACCATCATATACCACCACCAACACCATTATCATTTTCACTGCAACCACTTAAGGGTGAGCTTAGTTCCAGAACCGAAAAACCAAAAACCGAATTTATGGATATGGTAGAACCAAGAACTAAGTTGAATTACATTTTTGGTTCCTAATCGGTTTCAGTTTAGGTCAGGTTCGATTCCAACAAGTATTTTGCTTATTCCTAGTTATGAGGGTCTGCAATTGGATCGAACTGAACTAAAATTGAAAAACTAAAAATCAAATTTATGAATATTAATGAAACGTAAACCGAACATAATTATACATTCGACTTCCAATTGATTTTGGTTCCAATTTTGGTTCAGTTCCGATGGATATTTTGCTCACCGTACAAACACCATCATTTATAACCACATGTAACTCAAATTTAAAATAAACAAATTGAAATCGTGAATTTATCCTAAAAGAAGCAAATCAAACATGCGAAATTAAACACAAATCTGAATTTGATCCTAAATTGAACCTAAAACGAAACCCTTGATGGTTACCAGCTAGTCCAGTCGTGATCATTTCCATCTTCCACCGTCCTGCTTTTGAGAGAGAGAAAGAGAGAGAGAGAGAGAGAGAGAGAGAGAGAGAGAGATCCATGTAGCGATCGATGTTGCATCAATGGCGGTTTTGTTTGGTGTCCCGGTGTGGCACCGGGAACACCTACTTTTTATGTACGCAGCCGAAAAACTTTCGTTTTTCTTTTACCTATTTTTCCTGCATCAACAACACCGACTTCAACATTGGCAACACATAGTATGTATTCTTGCATCTACCCCTGTGTTGCATGCGACATAGAAAAAGAGATCGATGATGTTGGCTGGCTGAGATATGGACAATGTACAAACATATATGTCGATCGATAATGTGGGTGGCGATGAAGCTGCCAACGACATCATTTTACATTAAAGATAATATAAAAGTTTAACAATGTTAGGCTAGAGGACTAAAAATGATAGATTTACCAGTTATAAAGATCAGTAATGTTTAATTTCAAAAACTAAAAGCATTTATACAAAAAGATATATACCACATGGACCGAAGTTGTAAATTCCTATAAAAAATGGATAAATGTAGATTAATTACAAAGAGTATGTTGGATCTCGGTTTATTTGGCTCACAAGTAGCTATTATTTATAGAATAATAATATATACAACCTTTTATGCACGTGATTCAAGTCCTTGATGCATCACATTGTACAATCGTTTATACACATAGTACAAGTGTTTAATGCAGTGTAGCAGCATGATGACATCTTGGCACTATCGTCGACAATCAAATATCTTAAAAATTTATATCCTTTTAAGAGAAGCACCCCACCATCATCGCTGTCGACTGTCGGCAATAATAAACAACCCTCCATACTTCGCCTTCAATCCTTCTTTCTTTCTTTCTTCTATAAACCCTTTCTCAATCTATCAATATTTCCAGGTGATTAATTTCGAATTTTAGGTTTACACGGTTAGTATTTCAACTTTCCTTTGTGGGCGCTGTTGATTTCCAGAAAAGATCGATCGTTGATTAGGGTTCTTGTAATTCATCATCATTTCGGAGTCGTAGAAGGTTGAATTTGATTGGGTGTTATCCCTTTCGCTAATATCTGTTGATCCGTGTTTAATTTTTTTCTGGGTTGTTATCAATTTATGTTGTTGACGATGAATTTCGTTGTGTTTTTCCGTTAGGGTTTACTAGTTCTGATAAAAATGGGGGTTTTTAGTTTTTTATGGCGTTTGTTAAATTAGGGTTGGTTAATCGATCTTATCCGAAATGGGTTCTCTTTAGCATTGATTTAATCGAAGATTTGCGAGCTAAAGTTGTCAAATTTTGTGTTAATTAATATGGGATCATCAGGTTTTTGCTCGATATGCTTAATCTACTCTGTAGTGGCTTTAAGTTGTGGAACCCTAATGATGTTCTATAGCCATGAGGTTTTTGCATTCAGTCATGGCAATGAAACTGCAATTAAGCTATTGGGATCAACACCCCACGACCAATTGTTGATCAAAACCTCTGATTCGTTCTCGGGTCTGCTTTTATTTGCTGTTGGAATTCTCCTGTTCATGGTGGCATTTGTGAAAGATAGGGATTTTCAGAGCTTTTTTGCTAAAGGGTGTGTTCTTCTTCATATTGCGATGGCAGTTTGGAGGATATATTTTGAGAGGAAGCTTGAAGAGCTTGGTCGTGATTGGCTCAGGCTTGTTCTAGGTGATTTTGTTTTGGCACTTTCGTGGGTGTTGTTTCTTGTGTACAGTTGGAGAGAAAAATATGATTAGGCAAATACATAATCGTGTTCAAAACCTGTTCTTGAATTTGTTCATGAATCGATACTGCAGCTTGGACCATCGTTTTTGGTGATGTTTGAAGAATGGCTACCATTAATGGAGGTTGGTGAAGATCGTTTTTGTTCTTGTTTGATTTGTAGGAGCACATATTTGTTGATTGTGATTAGAGTAAATCATGGGTGACTTCTAATTTGCTTTTTTTTTCTTTTTTTTTTTTTTAAATGTTTAAACAGCAAAGATTGATCTTGTTGCGTTCATATGCTCATCTTCAATGTAAAATTTTCGATTTCTAGATATAAATATGAAATTTCTTTCAATGATGATTTGTTTTTGTTTAAATTCTTTTTTGTTCTTTTGCTTTTGACCCGATAAGTCACATGATCAGTTGACTGTCTTGAGGGTTGAATCTTGATATTGCATTGTTTTTGCATTTGGATGATAACGTGTGGGATTCTACTAAACAAATTCATATTATATTCTCATTTTTTGAAACAATTTAAAAGGTGTTAGTATTGAAAATACATTTTAAAAGATCTCCAGGTCATTCATCCTATTTGTTATTGGCAAATTGCAAAAAATCACTATATTACTACAAATTTTGATTTTTACACCGAGTTATTTTTTTTTTCAATTATGTCACTATATTTACAATTTTGTTGTAATATCAACCAAATGACTGGTTCTATTTGTTTTCCAGTAATTACTTTTCTCAATTGCAATAAAGTCATTAAGTTTATAAAAGTTTCGATTTTGACACCGAGTTTCAAATTTCAAGAAAATCACTATATTACCATACAAATTTGATTTTGACACCTAGTTTTTTTTTCAATTATGTTAATATATTTACAATTTTTTTCTTTTTAATATCAACCAATTGACCGATACAAAAATATTATTGTGGTTTAGAAGTTCGATTTGTACAACAAATAAATGAAGATCGATCCAATTGTTCAAACTCACTTACAAGTCAGCAAAAAAAGATATAACCACCCTTTCAGGAAATGTTATTGTGGTTTAGAAGCCTTATTTGTACAACAAGTACTTGAGGACCCTTACAAAGTTGATATATACAACAAATAAATGAATACCCTCACAAGGTAAATTTATACAACAAATAAACGAATGCCCCTACAAGGTCGATTTATTTGTATAACAAATATATGAAGACCCCTATAAATGAAAATCATAACAAACTCGCATCTAAATCAATTGATCGGTTATCATCAATCTAACATGTTACCAAATAAATGACATTACAATATTGTGATGTGGAAGCCACGTAAAATCTTATGTGATAGGATTGATTTCAAATATAGGGTTTGCATCGAATCCAATTCCATATATGTTTTTTGGTCAATCAAGTGATTCAAATCAAGTGATTCAAACTCACTTAAAAATCAGTGGAAAGGACGTACTCACCCTTTTAGGTGACACGTGACATCCATTTCCCATTATGTAATTTAATCTGGTTTTTAATTTGATCAATTTGCTAAAATCTGAAAACCAAAAAAATAGATTTATTTGCAAGGGGGCGCGGGGAGCCTATTAAGGGTGTGACGCGCCGGAGCCATGGGCTGACATGTTTTTTAGGGTTTTGGAGGCTATTTAAGCACCATTAACCTCTAGGGTTAGCTCATTCTAAGCCTCTATTACTCCTTAATGAGATCCAAACGAAACCATAGCCTCCTCTAACTTGATTTGAGCCTATCTTCACCTTTGGAGCTTATTTTCCCATGTTTTGCACTTAAAGCTTGAAGATCATGGTTTCTTTTGGGTGCTTTGGAAGAGAAAAACAAGTTTAAATCTAGAAAGTTTATGCATCTCCTGTATTTTTGTGAGTATAAAGTATCAAGCTTTCATTGCCATTTGTTATCTTGCTTGATTAAATTTTAGGATATGGATAATGTTAATTTATTAAAACTTATTGATGTTTTGGGTGGTTTACCACTGATTATCCGATTCTTTCTTTTAAATATAATAATTTGTTACTTTATGCTATTAACGTTATGAGCATTTCAAACTTTGTGTGTGGACGCATAATATCTCGATTATCAGCTACCACAATTATGCTTTAGATAAATCTTTTTTTTATTTTAGTTTGAGTTTTAAACATTTCAAACTTCTTTATGTCCTAGTGATTTATATAACTTTAAACATATAGCCTTGTAGTTTTGTAGTTGATTATTGAATTAATTGGATTAGTGTTCTTTAGTTTTTATATAGAAACAACTTAAACAACAATCATTTAGGTTAAAACTCTGTTGCCTTCATAGTTTTCATGTCAGGACTCGGGAGAAATTTAAATCCTAGGCTATGTTTGGTTCTACCATTTAGAATTGAAACTGATTATTACTTCTTGAATGATTTAAACCTAGGGATAGAAAGTTACTCACACATTTATCTCAATGATGAAGCTTAGGAAAGTAAATGTTGTCAATTTGTTTATTCTTGGCATATATTGATACTGTTGACTTAAATTTACATGCATGAGTGTTTCACAATGCAACATTCTTCACAACAATAACACGGAGAATGATTTTCAATCTTTATAAGGAAATGGTTTTCTATAAGAACTTAAAGAACATGCAATTGAAGCTGGTTACCAGAAGAAGATGATTTTTTAGAAGGTGTAATTTAGTATGATATATTCAGAAGATCATGCAGGAGTATTTAAACCTTAATACTTTTCCTAGTCGCACAGATGAGTTACAAGAGTATGCTCTATTCAGAAGTGGAGGAGGCATGGAACTTGAATCTGACATTGATACCTTAAATGCGAGCATGCCAAAGGTAGGTTTGACTAAAGGGTGGTCCACGTGTACTCTTGCAAATGGGGTGGTAACTGTTGCTGGTGAGCATCCTGTATGGAGAACATGCTTCTAGAAAATTATTCATGCATAACATAAATAGTAATTTTGAGGATTCATAACTCAAAACTTTGTTTGAGGCACCTAATTTTATCCAAATTTATCCCCACACACCTAAGAGTGTGTCTGAATCCCTCAAACCAAGGCTCTGATACCAACTTGTAACAACCAAAAAACTTAGGTAAAAGTTTTCATTTATTAACTAGAAATAATATCCATAGTTGTTTCCCACGATTTCCATTAAATAACATATTGTTCAAAAGATCAGAGTAATCAAAACAACTAGTGTAGAATACTAAAGAGTGCTCGCTATGCCATCAAGCCGGACCCTAGCCCTTAGAGCCAGAAGTACCCGAAACACCCAACAAACTGTAAGCAAACGCCTAGTGAGTTTCCCAAAATACACAACAAATACAGTCGCATAAGAAAACATGAAAGAGAAATGCATACATGAATTGCCATGGAATCCCTCCATGGTCTTTGCATGGAATTCCATGGGCTCCCCATGGTCTTATAACCAAGTGCCATGGGCTCTCCCATGGTCTTTACCTGGAATGCCATGGGCTCCCCCATGGTCTTCATATAAAACAATCCATACCACAAAGCATACAATTGCATATCAATTAATTACTACATATCAGATAATGGTCTGACATTGGTGCCTTCGATCCATGGGTATGATGAGAAGACTCACCTCAAAGATAGCCAAATCCTACGAATGTTGTGGCTGCTGCGAATCGGTTCCTAACACTTAGCCAAACCCAAAGCTAAACTCAGTAAATAACTATGGCTAAATTTATCTAGTATGTCACACCCCGAACCGAACGGCGGAAACGTTCGAGGGCTCTTGTGACTCAAATTGAATACCATCACAATGAATATACATGAATCATAACACAAATCATCACCATGCATTGGAATATTACAACTGATATTGTTTACACTCGGTACATTGTTTAAACGTTACAATTCCATAACATAGACTGTCTAGTAGATAGTTTAAGCAAAACACCATGACATGACTTGGTACTTATTCTCCGGCTTACTTGTTACCTGAGAATACAAGTTATTTTGAAAAACGTTAACATATGAAATGTTGGTGAGTTCATAAGTAATGTTATGGAAAAATGATTTTTGTGAAGTTTGAAACACCCAGAAAATCCGATATTTTCTGAAAAGAGTATTTGTTTATAAAAAAGTGTGAAGATTCGTAAATATGCTTGTCGATATTGAAAACATGTATAATTGTTGAACTTTGTATACATCACAAAGGTGAAAATGTTGAAATTTCCGGGAAAACCCGATGTTTTCCCAATACGCAAATTACATGACTTGTTTATTGTTATACCGATACGACGAATGTTTTTGATTACCCAGGTGACATTGGATTAACTAGGGTTTGTGAGTGATTACAATCACGCATTAATGAAAATGACTAGTTTATAACCACAGGTTACGAACGATCCCTAAGGTGTCGTCCGTACTACTCACACAATCCAACCACCCTGACTTCTCTTGATTAACACCACAAATCTGATTACTCGAATTCTCATAAGCCCAACAGCCGAGGAGAAAGGAGGGTACGAAGCCCCCTTTATTTCCATAAGTTATTCAAGGCTATCGGGAATGCGAAAGGCACTTAGCCCGACTTGCATTTGACTTCTCGACCTCACTAGCAGTACTAATGGACCATTAGGGCCCAATAGCACAATAGAGCTATTGAAAGTCCTTTTACATGTAATTAGGTCGTATAAGGCCTATTAACATGTAAGCACGTTCCCTTCGGGCCCAAATATCATGTTATTAGGCTAGCAAGGCCCAACAAGCACGATTTGAAACTTTCAAGCCCAAAGATTGAATGTTGACTCCTCGTGGTTATCACACGTTTATTGGAATACTATGGTTTATTGATTTTTGTTTTGTTATTGATTCGAGACCGAATCAATTCGTTTTGTAACGATATTGGTTGTTAAGAGTGTAATTGTTTTTACGTTTCGTCGGTAGTCGTGGATCTTGTACTTTGTCTTAATGAATTAATTTGTTTAAAAGTAAGATTTTTACCTTTTCACAACCTTTCTTTTATAAAAATAGCACTTTTAGTCCTTTATATAAAAGAATTTCATT